CGAACCTGAAGGTAAAGTCGCTCAACTCATCGGAAGTAGTTCCATTGAAACTTGCTCCATCAAAAAACAGCTGCCAACGTCTATTTGGTTGTGTGTTACAGTACAGCCAAAAAAAGTAACCGCGGGCAGTTATGTTCGTGATTCACGTGAGCCCAAGTTGGTCCACGCAGCATGAATTGCACTGGTACAGTAAAACAAACTGTCCTGGAATGACTTGTTCTAGGTGAACACCAGTCAGAACACACGACAACAAGTCGAGAGGTTATCAGATTATTTTGGCTGCATCCTTGGTACAGTAAAACAAACTGTCCTGGAATGACTTGTTCTAGGTGAACACCAGTCAGAACACACGACAACAAGTCGAGAGGTTATCAGATTATTTTGGACTGCATCCTTATTTTGAAAGTTTCTTGGAAGATCAAATCTTGATAAATTGATTTTTGAATTTCTGTTTTTGCATCGCACCGAATGCAGTTATTTTTACTAGCATTGATGATTCCTGGTGCACGGTGTACTTTCGAAATGAGGTCCTGTCATTCCCCGTAACTGAGTATGTTGAACACTGTGAAGTAACCGCCAAAACTTAAACAAACGGATCTTGTGAAAGTGCTGAAAATGCTGTGAAATTGTTGAATGCCATGCTAAGAATTAGGCCACCATCTGACTTAGTCAAGGTTGTATTTCCTAATCAGACCGACCGATGCGAGAAAACACGCGAAGCAGGGTATTCATCAAATACTGAATTTGTTCGCCAGTTTCCATTTATCAAAAGATTCCTTTGGGTGTGTATGCTTCATGAGAGCCAGTGCTTAACGGATATAGTGGGAATACACTAAATGTTATGCATGACACACTGATCCAACTTTTTGTTCGACGAGGTATTCTTGCAGTGAGCAGGCTACTTCCAGCTAGTAAGTAATATGGCCTTGTGGCGATTTTACATGTTTAGCTGGTGGTTCCATCAGACTTGCTCCCACGGTCTGGGGGGAAGGACGCAGTCTGCAGGTACCCCAATTTGATTACGTATATCTTTACTGCCTAGCCCCACATCGTTTGTGAACAGAAACAAATCACGGGTCAAAATATATCACTTGAGGTTTCTCGGGCTACAGGAAGCAGCGCCAATGTACATTGATGATTAGTGGTCTTTTTGAGAGTTTTCGATCACCTTGATCACAGTGGCTTGCAAGGTTATCAGACATTTACTAGCCAACTGGCAAATTGAGCGAACACAGTAACTGCTTTACTTTGAAGGTCTTGGTTTCACACGCAGCCGGATGCTTTTGTAATTCCGTTACATTCAGTCTGTTTTGAGTAGACTCTAGTGCAGCTGTTCAAAAGTACAGAAAACACATTTCAACTGAGCCACGAGAAAAGATGAAGGAATAATTTATATCCACGTTTGCCTGGACATCAACTGCCCCCCAGGGTAGAGGGTTCACGACAGTGACCTAACGGTGACGGACTGATGATATGAACATCCTATTGGGACATTGCTGACAAGTGGCTTCGACCAACTCTGTTACGTTTATATAACTAGCCATCTTTTGATTTGAAATTCCTGATTCTCGGCTTATTTTTTCATGTAATTTACTACTCAGTCGGAGTGCTAATGGGGCGCTTATTTCGAAAAAATCGTCTTCTAGTTACCAAGTTCTCCTACGGAGGAAAGTAAGCTGACGGCGCAACTTGCTAGGACCGGTCGGGCAGTGGGATACTGCATCTTGTTTGACATGATCCGCAGAACTTCCTTAAATATCTTCAAGGATACTGGATCACGAGCACTATGGTACAAAAAAGTCGGAGGTTTATTAGGCGAGCTTAGTAAGCGGTTTTCCAGTTGATGACAAGAGGATGCGTTCAAATTTCACCAGAAATTTCAATTTTTAAGGAACATGTTGCTCGGTGTCTTGCTTCTACTTCTACTGGTGGATTCGCAGAAAAGTATGGCAGTTCACAAAAGTTGGAACATTTTGGAGAAAAATAAAACTTTCTTAGTTTCTCATCATTTGAAAGATACTAGTCTTGACTTTAAATTGCATTCGTATCCCAGTCAATCCTACCCATTTCTGGTAAGTTCATCACCCAGATTTTATCCGTCAGACGCCGAAGATACCCTTGTAACGGTGATACTATTGATGGGAAGGCACGCCAATAGTATGTGTTGTTCGTGGAATTTCGCTCTGCGTCTTTTGAAAAGGGGAGACCTGTTGCGGAATTTGTGGAGTCGCTTCGTAACATCTGCTTGGATTTGAGCGAGGAATGATTGGAGTCAACGAATCTCCAGCAAAGTTCAATAAGACGCTTTCAGGAGAAGATGGATGTCCAGTTTTCGTAAATAAGATGCAAATTAGAGTTTTGCTTCCCTGTCCGATGGTCTGTAACCGGTCAGTTGGCATTTCCTAGCTCCGCAGCGAAGGCCTTCTTCCTTTCATCCTACCAGTCTCCTAGCAACAAACAGAGTCTCAAAATCCCATTCATCTTCTCTGCGATTAACTATTTGATTATGCGTGGTGTGGGCAGAAACAGGAAAAAAAACTTCCGCATCGCAGGGGATTGGGAATTAAACAAAACGTACGCTCACGTTATTTGTACAGGCCACATAGTATCATCAAACACCACAAGAGACTGGACAGAGCGGACAGCCAGGTTCCTGACTGATGTGATAACTGTGCGGTCGGTCATATTGATTTCGATTTGTACGTTACTAGCAGTGCATATGTCACCATTTAAGTCATGCGCTCTACATGTTTGTATGACCAACAGACTTCGAACGTCAAGGTTCATTTGAAAGAATGTTATTCCACCGAACGGTTGGCGATCGCGTGGCACCATCATACAAGGTGTGTTTACTTACTACAAACTGTCTGATCGATTCGTTTATTCGGACATAAGGTCTGTTCTTTGCAACAGTAAGTCGGTGCACAAAATAAATTTTAAGATGTGACTGATTCTAGTGTGTTTAATTCGGGACTCTTCCTGACTGAACTGTTATTTGTGCAGTGTGTGTCCAGTGCATTTTGATGTTTAAATGAAAGGATTGGAGAAAAATAGACGATATCCCGCCAGACATATATTAGCACAAGTGCGATGGACTCGCCAAGACCCTTCAAATCATCAAAACCTGAGAGATATTTGCAAACGCATAGGGGAGGGTCACATTTAAACCAGTGTGTATAGCTCCACTCAGGTGTATTAAAAACGCTTGTCTCTTTGCGTTTACCACAATGACACAGCTAGATGACACGGTGCGGGATTTCAACACTTCATTCGATTTCGTTGACCAAAGTCCCAAAGCGCGTGGAGTTTGAAGGACTGGCTTATGGCCGCTGCGTCCCAGGAACACTGTCAGGCACTCACCGCCCACTTAATCCAAACTTAGGGTGTCTTGCATCTTTATTTCAACGAGCTTTCTTCTTCACAGGGTCACGACTTGTGACCGCATCGGGGTTGTCAGAATCCCCATGTCTGTGCTCTATACAGACTTTTAATCTCATCAGGTACAGATAACCGAGTCAGTTTAGTTTTTATTTAAGCTGGCTTCAGGTTACTTAGAGGTTACTTCAGAGGTTACTCAACGCATCCGCTCTTTATATGATGAGACGACCAAGAGCAAAGGAACTGTACCTCAGGCGTAGGGAATTAAACTGGCGAAATTCTGCGTAGTGGCTGGGAGTTGTTCTGTGAGTGAAACTTGGCTATTTGGGCGTTCTTTCAGATATCGTTGAGCACAATATTATCGATTTTTCATTGTTCAACGTCGTTCGCTTTCACCAGAGAACAACTGCTCTTAGAATACACATTCTTTTCGACAAGGCATTGGGTTTTGTGTCCACGGAACCGATACTGATCCACTAGTGAAGATGTAACAATAATATAGGGGAGCTTTCTGCTACTGACCCAGGTTTGCTGGTAAACGAACCTGGCGAATGTCCAGCGATATTTGCTGGGACAAGTATGCGGTAGTTAGTGGGACTATAGTAACATACTGTCGTTTTTTAGTAGATTCAAAATTCCCAAATTGTTAATTAATAAGGAATGCAGCGTCGAAAACAGTTTTTGTGATCAAACTTGACAGCTGGCGTTTACAATCTTAAATTATGAATAGACCAATAGGAAGGCCATTACAGCGGATTAGAACGAGACCGCACAAGAAGATACTGGAACAAAACACATGTAGGTTTCCCCACCGACCCAACACTTGTTCAACCACTCTAACATACTAAAATCCCTCGGCCGACACCCAACAGAGATTTAGCTTGAGTTAGCTGATTGGTTCTCCTTCCGCCTTAAATCTCGATAAACCTCGGAACGTAGTCACTTGGCCCGACGAAGCTTTTTTGTCAAAAGCGAAACGTTGCCTAGCAACAAATCTACCGATTGTCACCAAACTTTTTTCAAAAACGAAAAATACTGGAACTACTTTCAGGGAATCTTAAATCACCTACATGGTTGATTTCCATCACCTGAATTTTGTATTAATCTTGAGTTCGTAGGTCGAAAAGTTGCAACGAAGGTGCTGAGAAATGTTGTCTGGGGTGTTTTGAGGACTAGTCCCGCAATCAATCCAAATGATTCAGTCAACGGGAGCAGCAGAATGAACAAATAACCTTTTTGAAGGTCGGAAATGTCGGTTAGCGGCTTGGAGATGGATGGAATACAGTTCGAATCACAACTAGGTTTATGATATGCCTTTCTCAGATGTGATGATCCGCGGGTACGTTCGCGACCGAGTACAACCTAGTGTGTGACAAAAAGCGGCTTGGACTCGACAGTAGGCATGAAACCTAATTAGCAGGAACATCTGTTCATCCGAGAAGACCGAAAGAAGACCGAATGGTCTGAAGGCGACTGTTCTGCAATAGCCTAATATCAAATTCGGCCGCCATAAAACCCTATCATGTTGTGTTATTGTTTGAGCACTAATGTATAAGTCATACCGTCTTCTACCAATATATCCTTTTAGCTCATCATGCAAGGGACACAAAAAGGTGGGTTAGCTATTCCTTCAACCAAATTGGTGCTATTTCATAGAGATTCTTCTGTATTGTCTGTTGGTTTGGGTGTTTCTAAATGGCAGTCTTGGTGCACCTTCAAATCAATTCGATGTTGAACAACCAATTTCGGCTGCGGAACGCTCGTTCACCATTGATCCATCCACGTATACATTTTTGAAAGACGGGGTGCCTTTTCAATACATTTCCGGCAGTTTCCACTACTTCAGAATTCCAACGATGTACTGGTCTGATCGGCTGAAGAAGGCGAAAGCAGCTGGGTTGGATGCCATTCAAATGTGAGTTTATTCGGAGTCTGTGTTTAACCTTTGTCTGGTTTTAAGGATAAGGAGTTGTAGACGAGGTTTCTTCTGGTTTATGAGCACTGTTTCACTGTTAGGTAGAATTGTCTGATGGCCAGTCATTGCACCAGCATGCGGTGAGGGCATGAACCGTAATTCTGACACGTTTTGTAACTGACACACTGAGGGTTCAGAAATCATTTGGCACACAGTTGAGGAGTTGTGAATTAAACCCACAATTTCCGCGCGATGCAGTGTAAGGGACGATGGTAAAGGCCTTCTACAGTTTCTTTTATTGGTCGATCGTTTCGTGTACCATATTCGGCCTCTGTTTTATGGTTCTATTTCATGTGTCAAACGGTCTAAAGGTTTGGTCCGTGTGAACTGGTGGAACATATCACCACAGGATACAGTAACTAAACGTTATTTCCGTACTGTTATGATGTAGTCAACATCTTGTTAGCTTGTTGGGACTTCTACCCAACCGATGAGGTACCCCTTGGCTAAGTGGATCTGATCGTGGAAAGCAAGTTTTCGGATAAAATGTTGCTGTTACAGTAGGAATGTTTCATTCAACTCGGAAGCGTAGTTACAGCAAAGTCAGTTGAAACCAGATAGAAATGTTGATCTGGTCCGTTAGAATGTAACATCGGATGCGACTCCCATTTGCTCAGGCGGCTGCAAGGAAATGTACCCCATCATCAAGTCAGTACATTTCTAATGGTAAGAGCAAAAAATGAAATACGCTGCGGAGATTGGTTAGTGAAATGCAAAACGTGGAGACACGTGGAGACATGTCGTATCTGATTGGGTGCTGTGAGACAGTCAAGAGGGCTGTCGAGTGACTTGGCCGGTTGATTCGTGTCACAAAACCAAGGCAGACTCATCGTTCATACGAAACGATTTTGACAGTACAGTACCGGGTTTCGCAGGCGACTGCCTCGGCTGTAGTCAAGCAACGTCATTGAAGAGATACTGGCAGTCTAGATGGCATATGCTTTAAATGATTTGAAATAACTCATTTGGTACGACTGTGTGCCCGGGATGCAATTGAGCTCCTGGCTGAACGGATGAGGTTAGCGGTATTCCGGTAAGAGAGGTGCTCGCGTACTCTCTTAGAAAACTGCCGTGTCGTGCGCCCAACATACTCCGCTGAACACCAGCAAGAGAAAGAATAGACAACTATATTCTGGGTGAGGACTGGCATCTTGTCTTTCAGGTTTAAGTTGAGCAAAGGGATTGTTGTGAACCAAGACCGCAGAGTTCCAGCCAGAAACGTGCGTTGTAAGGATTAAAACAAGCGGCAATTAAACATGTCCGCCGACAGGTCGCCTTTAAACAGTAAACTCAAGAATATTGTCTTCTTCCCAACGGTCGTGATAGGTGGCGGATAGGGCGGGTTGGACATATTCTTGGTTATATACCTCTCCTGCCAAGTCACTCAACAACCCTCTTGACTGTCTCACAGCACCCAACTAGATGCGACATGGAGGGGGCGCAAACAATCTTTCCACGTTTTGCATTTTACTAACCAATCTTCGCGGCGTGTTTCATTTTTCGCTCCCATTTTGACCATTAGATATGTACTGACCTGATGGCGAGATCCCGAAGACACTATTGTTCGTCACTGTGTTCTTTTTCAAACCATGGGTATATTTAAGCAAATATACCCCAGTACCTGAAAATTCCTCGCTGTAGCGTGTTGGAAGCCCCCCCCCCAAATCCCTGGTTTTCCTAAACCGAAGTAGAATCAGTTCTTGTTAACAAATCATCATGACAGATATTAATCGTAGAAAGCTTGCAAAGAAATCGCGATGGAAAAACAAAATTTTTGAAGAATGACGGGGCTTTGTGACATGCTTATGAGGAGTGTGAATCCGCCATATTGGCGACGTTTTTGTGCACAACCCTCTCCGAATGTTGGATCTACACCACATATGCGTGGGAGACCCTAAGAACTTGAGGTTTAGGCAAACCCAAAATGAATATCTTGTCCAACACCTACGTGCTTCAACAGCTTGGATTATCTGAACACATTCAGTCTGATAAACCAGATACACCCATACATTTTTTAAATATCATTCGCCAGTTACATCCCCTGGAATTTTCACGAACCTGAAGAAGGCGAATACAACTTCTCTGATGATCGGGACGTCGAGCATTTCCTCGATCTGATACAACAACTGGATATGCTCGCCATAGTCCGTGTTGGACCTTACATATGCGCCGAATGGGCATTCGTAAGTTGAGTTGGTGGAAATAACTTGTTTTCGTCCAGGATCTCCTATCTCGTCGTCCATTTCATATGATAACGTTTTCTCCAACAGCGGTGTTATTTAGTAGTTATTGTCTTGAATGATTCCAGAAGGCCCGTTTTCCATGTGTCACAAAACAGCTTGATTGGTTCCTCTGGCTAAATTTTCGAAATGTTTCAAATTAGTGTTCAATCTTTCTGAAGGAAAGACTGTCACTACATCACCCACTGACCATATAGATTTCGTTTTATGTGTAGACTTCTTAGATATATATCGGAGAGAATTTTTTCCGGCGAATAATTGGCTTGTAATCTTTGGTCAGTCTGAGTTAGTCGCTCTGCAAGTTTAAGTTCGGGGTGTTCCAAAAACACACAAAATGTTACTCACTTGGTATGCCTTTCAATTTCTCCAATAACGTATGAATTTTTGTAACAGAAATCACCTGATGAGCTGAAAGCATTGTTCTGAACTGAAAAAAAGTTCAGGCATTTATCTTGGCAAAATTGCCATGCTGGAAACGTCAAAAAGCATGCTCTGATTTTATCAACAACCGGAGTCTGTAAAGCTCTTCCTGTGTAATCCATTATCGAAACTGAGACACTGAGGGAATGGGTTACGCACAAATTTCTTCTAGGTCACTCATATGATTGCAATTTTTGGGGTTTTGCGGGATAGGTATTTTGTTCATAGCCACACCACTCTCGTTTGAACGGCCGTGTTCCTGTTCTGGGCGTAATTATTCCTCACATGAGTCTTTACTCATATGAGTCTTAAGCCAACATGTATGAACGTTTACTACGATTTGTAGAGGGAGAATGCGGTGAAATGCACACTCACACTACTCTTTGATGAACTCGGTTTTGTTTGTTGCAAGTAGTCTTCGATGACATTTTACAGTAATGTTTTATTTTAAATCGACAAAGCACCCTGGAACAAACTTAATATAACCATCTCCATTTATGAGAGAAGCACTCTGAGTCAATGGAAAATTAATACCAGTAACATAGTCAGTCATATCGTAAACATCGTAAATGACTTCTGTTGTTCAATCAATTGAAAAACTCCTGGCACCGACTGAGCAGTCATAATTTTCAGAACTAATCGCCAACAATTTTTAGATTTATTGCTGGACAACGTTTGACTTTTGACACAACAGTTTCGTCAGACCAAGTGAGCATGTCATGAGGTTGGTTGAGATTCAAGGCGGAAGGCGAACCAATCAACTGATTCGGTAATGGTGATTCACACCACGGAAGCTTATAATTGAGGCTTTGGAAACAAACATGGATCATAGCGTAAATAGAATGGAGGGTGTGGAACTGGCGAGCGTCTGGAAAGCGGTCTTAGATAAATCGAGTTGACACGTGACTGTGTGGTTGTCAGTCCACGTAGAATCATTAGCAAACACGGAGGAAGGGGGGGTTGGAAATCCAAAACAAAGTTGACAAAATCCCTCTTCCTTACACAACTACCGCAGCCCTAACTCATCCACGCAGACGGACGAGAAGTGCAAACGATATTCGTGTAAACCGAACCTGAAGAACTGATAGCTAAGCTGAACCCAAATCCATGTAGGTTTCCCCATCAGCTTTGCACTTGTTAAAACACCCTAAAACACAAAATCCCTTGACCGACATCTAACACAGATTTGGCTTGACTAAGCTGATCAGTTTTCCTTCTGCCCTAAATCTCGACCAATCCCGCAATCTGGTCATCTGGCCTGACAAAACTGTTGTGACTACAAATTGTTACCAAACCTGTCCGAAAACGAAGACTTCTGTTCTCCTTCCCATACGAAGTTCACCGCGAAAACAGATCTCTAATCGGCATATATAACCGAGTTCATCAACACCTAAAACTTAGTTTTCGCATAGTTGTTTGACAGAAACACAAGTCTTCCTGCTGCACTCGTTACGGACTTCCGAGCCCAGATGGCTTGAGCACAAGTGGCGGTTAAATAAAGTGGATTTTCAGTGAAGTATCGAAAGGTCTAGAATCACAAGCAATAAATAAAAAAATGTCTGTGTATTTCTCCTTGACGAATGGATTCCACCCGATGTATCTCATTAGGTGGGATATTTTGCATCACAAATCTAGTCGACAGTGGTTTTATCGACAGGTTTTGGTGCAACACTAGAAATTTAGACCTTTCACAAACGTAGTTTTATGTTTCAAGCCTTTTGGCGTTTCCGAGCTGCGCAGTCGATTGCCCACTGCAAAAATTCTTAAGGAATTTCCTCTATACATAACCGGTCAGATTTAAAGATACCCAACAAATGGGGTCGGCCAAGCGACTAGTCGGCTTTGTGGTTGTTTAAATGTGAAATTAATGGGCTCAGAATAATGAAATTTAATCTACCCATAAACCATATTTATCACAAAATAGAAAATAAGTTTTACCAAACGATTCATCACTAAAGGAGTCAGTCAACAGGTGACTGGCTGAAGTACTGTGGTTATCAGCTTTATGGAGAAATCTCCATTGAAAAGCATTTAGAGTTCCTAGCATTCCTAGAAATAAACGGAAATCAACGGTGGAATGTTTCGCAGATCCTAGTCAAGCTGATTAAGAATATTTTTTTGGTTTGCCGGACAATATGCGTTTTATTACGTTTGCCTGCTTCCATTACTCTACTCGCATCTGCTTTTGTGTAGACAAGAAAAGTGAGAATTAAAAAAGACTCCGTTTTGCGTTCAACAGTTATTAAAACATCTAGAACACGTGAACTTTGTAAAACCCCATAAAGGTGTATTGTCTATTACCCAGAGACAAATATCTCATTTTTGTGTACATCCCAGGGCGGCCTACCACCGTGGTTGCTGAGAAAAAACCCGACGATGAAATTACGATCTTCTGATTATTGTAAGTCCCTTTATCATGTTGCCTAAATGTATACTGTTTTGAATAACCTTTCTGCACGTTTAAACGACATCTTCATTCAACAACCGGTTATAACACATAGAATCCGCACCTGAGGCGTTGTTACGGAACATTTTTTGAGAGTTTGTGTAAATAATTAACGTTTAAATCACGGTTTTTTTCCTTTTTGCTGGACAATTTAATTGCAGCCGTCCATTACCAACCACTGTGTCATCCGCAGAGGGTGACTTATGGACCAGAGTACAGCCGCACATCGACACTATCTTTCCAGTGGAGTGAGTTTTTATAGGTCGGACGAAAGCGTTCATTTACTGAATACCGTTCATCACTTACGACAACGCAGTCAATGTAGAGCACGGTTGAGATGAAAAACAATATATATGTCCGTATTTTCACTGACTATGAAGGGACAGTCTTTAAGAGTAGCGCACCGCGATGGAAGCTTTCGGCTGCTGTTCGCTCACTGGAGCTTCCATGGTGTAAAATGCCACATAGAAAACTTAAACACGATGGTTCTTCCTTGAGAGGACTCATTTTCGTTTATCCACCTATTTTTGAAATAAAGTAAATGTCATTAGTCAAGTTGGGCCCAAAAGAATCCAAAGGCGTTATCTATTGCACTGAACATTCATTTTGGGTTTTATGTAAAATGTTGGAAGCTATATAACTCATTAGTTTGAAGATTTTTCGAAGCTTGCAAAATAGTTGGAAAGACAGACACCTGGATATTCTCAAGTAACTACCTAACCCTTTTGTCGAGGTGTTTTCCAGGGTCTCTATTGGAAATTTGCACTCTGTTGCTTTGAGGAGGAACTTTCCAGATAGAATGCAGATTTATCAAGGCGTCTAACAAAATCTCATTCAAAAATGCTTAGCAGTGCTCAGGGTGTTGGTTGATGTAGAACGAAATAGTTCAGTGAGGAATTACGTTGCCCCAAAAGTAAGTCCACTCAAGAGAATTTTTTTTACTTTTACAGATGATTAGTGTCAAGTCCAGTTAGTCGAATTTTAGTGGTCTCCGGTTCAGTATATCATGGTGGACAACTGACTGACCAGTCACCGACACAAGATCGTCCCACTAAAATGTGTAATTTGGTGAAATCACAGGAAACCCTCAGGGTGTGGTGGAATTACTGCTTGAGTACTAAAATTATTGCTGAAAACAAGGGGCGGTAAGAAGCGTCAACTGACTTTGGATTGAAACACCAAATAAGCACCAATGATGAATGAAGGTGACAATACCATCAATTCCTTGGGCATTAAATTGTTCAGGTTCTCTATGCTCTCTCTGTCGAAGTGGATCCAAGAACCCAGCCGTGTCAGAACTTCGTTCTAATGTCCAGTAAAAGTAACCTATACGGGGAAGGGGCTAAGATCCCACCTTCCCGGCGGACACTTTCGAGTAGCACTTTTATAATTTGCTTCCGGAATCAGCTTGGTGTGTTTTCTATTTTGGTTGATCGGAATCACAATTTAGGCATGCGTCCTTGAACTCTGCTCTGACATTCAACTTCCTGCAGTTTCACGAGAACGCATTGCACAGATTGTGCAGGATACCTTCAGTTCATTCTCAGACAGCTAATTGTGGATAATAACTGGAAATATGCTCACTTGGATACAGTATTTAATGCAAATTCCACCCATGAATATGTGACTTGAATGGAATGAACTTTCGCGCCCGTCTTCCCTATAAGATTAGATTGAGACAAAAACTGGATTCAGTGGATAATTGTGATAAGTCATTCTGAATTACTAACCTATCCCGATCATGTTGGCGACCATCGTTGTCGAAATTGAAAATATTCACTCATCATTTATTGTTGTTGCCCTGATCGGTTTCCATTTCCATCACTTGAGGTCGATATATGTGAGCATAACAAACAACCCACAAGATCCATGTTCTTCTAAAGACTGGACTCCTCCCGCATATCTCTCCATGTTGGATAAAACATGGCCCGGATAAAGGTTACCTCCTGACATGTTTCTCCAAGTCTGATTTCCTCCGGCTAACTTGGTTTTTCCCGTTACCAGACCTTGTTGTGAAGCAGTAAACCGAAATACCGACACTTCGGAATAATGCGTCCCTCCGTAGACTGGAGAAGAAATGACTGCGACTAGCTTTTCGGTTCTTCCTGTTTCACCATCCATACAGAAATGCATATTGTAAGCGTGTTGTCATTGTCAGCTTCCCCACATTTGCCTTGTGGTTAAAACTACACCAGGAGCCAATCTTTCAAAGCTGCCGTCGTATGGTAAACTACTAGAACCATGATTTGGACTTTCAACCCCGCCCAAATCATGTTAGTTGAGGAAGTCACGCACATGATGACTAGTTCGGTAAAAGGATGGTTGCCTCTGGGCGCCAAGGCTAACGTCGTTTATCAAGGTGATTCAGGCAGCGCGAAACGGAAGTCCTGTGGGTTCTAAAACTCACGCCGTTGTAGCCCCAGATGTTCAACGAAAAAAGCACCTGATGGGCAGTGGTTACCGAGTAAGCCCACTATCATGTTTGAATTTATTTGTACACGCGTGCACGGTTGTGCGGGAGCTGCTACTCTTCATGTTTACGCCCTTTTTTTGCAGATCACCGCAACTCGTTTGCAACTTCACGTTAAATTGATAGCTGGCTTACTTAAATTACATTTCTGCCGTCAAGATCCAGATGACTCGTTTGGATGTTGTTAGGTCCTGCCTGGAAGAGTTGCTTAGATCACATCGGTTAAGTCTGTCTGTCTCAGGAGATGAAGAACTGGACTGCCTTCAAGCTATGACGTAACCGGCCGGATGTTGGGTCACATCCTGGTCAATGATTTGTAAATGTGAGGATTGCAGACAGATGGTGGAAAGGCTGGACATCGATTTGAAAGAGGGGTCATTCCTGCCGGATATCCTTTATCTATAGAAGGGCATGCAGCAGCATTGTTAAATCTTACGATGAGGAAATTGGAGCACTCCGTAGAATTACTTTCTGTCCGGTTCAGCTAGTGTGCTGGCGAAACCACGCTTGCTTACATAAGTGGAACATTACCTAGGGATAAATCTAGCAAGTGATCTAAAACTTTTCCGAACAGAGGAGCATTCTACACCAACTGAAACATGAGGAGGCCTTTGTGCAGCACATTCAGTTGAAGAGCATCGTAAGCGAGAGATTCGATCGAGTCTGCCGTGTAAACCAAATGGATTTGCAAATAAGTGTATTTGTCTCAATCAGTCCATTTTGACTTCATGTGGAATATGAGGTTGATGGAAACTTGGGACTGTGCCTACCTGATGAGTCCCAGGTAAAGCGAAACTGGTATGGGCTGTAGAAGAGTTTTCAGCAACCTTGTGAGTAGTTTTCTTTATGAAGTGACACCATGTTATAGCTGACGATGATGCCATTTGAATAGAACTATTCAGTGAATGTCCGTTTATCGCAGCAAAACAAAGCAATCTACATACTGTGTGTGAAAGTTGCCGCAAGAGAAGCTAACCACCTGTGCCCATAAGATCCAAAATACTCAAACTCATCGATTTCCACGATCCCAGTGCACTTTAAACGTATTTGTCTGTACTTTTTACCGAACTTTCACTCCAAGCCTACTACCGAGAGGTCGTGAAGTGGTTTGGCGTATTGTTGCCGAAATTGCGCAGACACCTCTACACTGAAGGAGGGCCGATAATCATGGTTCAAGTGAGTCTGACCTCTATGGCTGTCACATTTTTCCCGGACGGCTACTGATCATTTCACAATCGGGCCCATTAAAACTGAATTCTTCGAACTTTACTTGAAACGCGATCAAAAACACACAATTCGCTCGGAGCATCGCGGTTCGAATGTGTCGCCTCAAGCCGGCAGTCGAATATTTTACTCGGTCAGTTTATCCAAAATCTGATATTTAGTTCAACAAAGAAAAGCCGCGAAACGGATGCCGACTATTTTGCGTTGAATCAGCAATTTCCTTGTGAGGAAGCTTAAACAAAGCAGGATGGGCTTCAACAAGCAGTGCATATTTCCACGTTCAAAGTACCATATCGTGCAGAAGAAGAACTGCACTTCGGGAAAAATTCCAAACTTGTTCAAATTCCAGACTCCTGTCAAATTATAAGAGGTTTCCAATTAACTCAGTACATTGATCTGCTTTTAACCAGCAACTTGCGATATAGATATAAACTGTTCCACTTTATCAGACGAAACATACGTCGAAGGAGTCGCGACCATTCAGTTATAAAAACAAGGCACATCACACTACTACTAGGGCATTTCGACAGACTGCAACACTTCCTGAGGCTCATTTAGTCATCTTGAATGAGATATTCAACTGGGTTCAGTTTAACTTTCCATCATAAGTGAAATTATATGCGGACGAGAAGGTTTGGAAAGACCGGGTGTGCTCACCTCACTTCAACGACAAAACCATTCCGAAGCCGGAATAATTAGGCCAGAACAGGAACACGGTTGTTCAAACGGGAGTGGTGTGGCTATGAACAAAAATATTTATCCCGCAACACCCCAAAATTTCAACCAAAAATCTGCCAGTGGGTTGCATCGCTCAAGTGTGAACACGTTCGCCTGTTCAGAGGTGATAATTCAGATTAGTCCAACGCGCGTTGGTAGAGTAGTGGTTACACGCTCGCCTTGCATGCCAGATGTCCCGGCACGGACATTGGATATGCACTGCTGGTGTGCTCTAATAAGAGCGAAACTCGAGTCCAGTGCTTCCCTTTGGTGTGGACTCACCGGAATAATTACGCCAGGACAGGAGGACGGCCGTTCAAATGAGGGTGGTGTGACTATGAACATTCTGAAGTCGTCCCCAACGAGGGGGTCTGAAGTGCAAACCCAAAAATATACGGAGTTGGCTATATCCCCTGAACTTTAAAAACACAGAACACAAAATCAAAGAATTAATCTATACCAGTCAGACATATGAAGTCAAACTACACAATTTGGAAGAAAAAAACAGTGAAACTCGGAGGAACAAATTCAACCATCCAATCATCAAGAAGATGGATTACGTTATATAGTTGATCACAAAGAGCGTAACTAAACGGGGTCTATCTACTGGACTGAGGAGGGCAAAGCCTGGGAACAGGTTACCTATCTCAACAAAGTTAAAAACGACCAACGTATAGTTCAGTATTGATAGTCAGAAGTAGCGGACCAGTTCTATCTACTTTCATCATCCTAGTACGGAAAAAGCTTACAACTTTTTCGTCGGATTATTGAAATAGCACATATTCTTCACGGATTTAAAAATTTGTCAGTTTAAAATGCGGTAGCAGTGCTAAAACGGTAGACTTTATGCAAGCCATTTTGAATCAATCGTGCCTCGTTTTTTTGATTTAACGTTTTTGCTAGTTGGTACGAAAATCCACAGCACGTCATGTGGGAGAAACCAGTCAGGTTACTGTCTGCAACTGTGGCGTTTACTAACGGCATGTGTCGACAATGTAGCTGCCGGTGAACAATACATTATTGACTGTAGATGAAGTTTTCTAGACGTTGTCTCTGATGCCATGAAGCGTCTCGCCGTGTCACGTCTAAAAATGAGTGGTCTTGGCATTCGCTTTCTTGATAGTAAATCTTCCGCTAAAGGCAGGCAACCATCCAGAGCCGTTTGCCTAACACACACAAATGGATTATTCGTTTCCGACTATTCCATTTTCCGAATCGATGTTTTATGGTGCCCAGTAAAAGTACAACTGTTAGCCAGATTGTCCAGTCGGGTGGCAGCTGATCTGTCTGCCGCATCTGAGAGTTAGTTTTCAAAAGGTTTTCATCACCATAGAAACAGAGGTCGCTAGTGCAACGTTGAAGTTAGTGCTTCTTGTTTGTTCTGAGTGGCCCGCTCGACTGTATGTTCTCTCAGTTCTAAGTAAATCCATTCATGTGACTTTCCGGATTGTGGTTGGTGCGCAAGGTGCTTTTCCATCTTGCGCGACTTTCATCTGTTGCGCGATTAAGCCCCTGGTCCACTACGATGTGTAATGCCGGCTTCCACTTTCTAGTTCAACTTGACCATGTGGGTTAATTTCTGCTTTATTTAGGTACCTCGTAATCGTTTCTTTTCTGGTTTATTGTGTATTTTCGAGAATCACAGTCCCACACAGGATGTATTTTAGGAATTAATAGCCTAGGTCAATCACAATCGGTCTGTTGATGAGTCGGACAGTTGCATCCGACACCATCATGAACTGATGTTGCTTCGTTTGTACCAGCAAATGAACATGCTTTAGCTGAATTCCACGAAATGGTGTGTAAAAGTGCACAATGCTTCTTTCGGTGAATCGTCCTCGGTAGGCAAGCTCTATGCCAGCGATTCTTAAACAAGTTATATATCGACAGTGCTTTATTTCCATTCCCATGTACTTCTGTTTTGAATTTTTTGGAGGTTGAAGGGAGCCTCTGCGATTTAGGTCCACCCAATTTAGGCCATCCAGAGAGAGCCTATTTAATAGGAATTCGACGGCAGTGCTCCCATTCAACCACGACTTGTTTGTATCTCCCCCCCAGACAAGAAACCCTCCTTCCTTTCAAAGAGGGTTGTTGTGATAATTCTTTTCAAATCGGTAACGGTCGTTTTTTATTTGCTCACTCCTGCGTAACAGTTGGAGAATGAGTATGGCTATACCAAAGCATGCGACCGTGACTACATGTCAATGTTGTATGATCTGGCTCGGTATCATTTGGGTCAGAAAGTTATTCTGTTTACGACGGATGGAAATTCTCTACAGATACTTCGCTGTGGATCGCCAGATCAACGCTACCTGGCAACAATCGATTTTGCTCCAAGTAAGCTCCATTTACAACGTGCATACACCTATATTTGGGTTATTTTGAGGAGATCTAAATCGAAACACGTCTGTAGAGTCATGAGTAATGTTGTAAAAGAAATCGGTACAGAAGCGAAGTAAGAGAACTTTTGAGGAGGACAAGGGATTGTTGGACACATTCACAGATGAATCTCCACGAGTAGCCCGTCTTTCAAATTCCGCTTTTGATCACTTAAGGCGATCGGTCTTTGTTGTGGACCCCTACGTCACATTATTACACAACGCTCAGTGCTCACATGAAATGACTGGCCCGATCGTTGACTGAAATCAAAGCCACTTAATCGTCATTTAAACAGAACTGGTTTAAGATCTTATCAGTATACGCGCATTTAGCTCGGATTTCACGTCTACTGAAGCAAGGGCAAGGTAGATTTCGTTACCCATTTATATATGTTACTAGTTCTTCCTAGTTTTTTATACTTCTGAAAGCGCTCACGTGGAAACTTTGCAGCAACGTCATGGGAAGAAAACGCCATTGCTTGTCTTGTCAAGTAATGGGTAGTAACTGCAATTCTTTATGATATTATTGGCATTTTTAAAGAAAAATTATTGAAAAAAATAGGGGCAGTCGCTGTTCCAAGTCTTCGGCTAAGCGAATGAATGAACAACATTTGCGACAACCATAACGTTTTCTTTTATAAATTTCGTCAGTCGTTGAACCAAATTTTCAATGAGCTAAATCTTACCTACGATGTCATTGGTGGTACGAATGGGTTGATGACATCATAAGGACTACTTCAAGCGTTGATCGACATCCAGTCATCATAAAAAAATGCAATTTGTGCTAAATATTGCAATAAACGTTAGTTATCGGAGTCTCAAGCTCCATTTTGGTGCAATGTTGGGAATCTTGTTACCAAATCAATAACAACTTTATTGCTGTGATTTTTTATATAGCCACAATTCCTCCGAACGTATCTTTTGATTCCGTTGAAAAATTCAGACCTGGGCAGCCACTGGTAAGTGAACCAGTCTAATTTCGGCTGTAAATTACATCAGTTCTTCAACATACTACTTGTTCCTTCGTTTCATGAGTTTGCTGCATTGTGGACCACAAGCGGATATTTTCAACTGGGGTCCTTCTCCTAGTGTTGAACAGTGTGTTCAACCATCCTCGAATGCTTGCGACTATTCCGCCAATCCACGATGAAATTTTCCCGTGTGTTCCAATGTCCCAAACAAGGGGTATTGTATAATTGTTCTGCCGAGACGTTACTTGAGGTTTTTCAGTGATAACCTTGAATTTTAACCTCGAAGAACCTGTTTCATATCGTTTTAGGTTAACAGCGAATTCTACACAGGATGGTACGATACGTGGGGAAGTGAGCACGCACACCGTTCAGCTGAACTCGTCCAAGAAAGCCTAATTGATCTAATGAATTACTCACCGAGAGTGAACGTGAACATGTGAGTTTGTTGTGCCCATTTAGGCATGGCAACAAAATCCATTACATTAAAAGTGGTCTGTTTTTTTTTTTAAGAAAAAATACGCAAATGGCCATCTCTTTGGGTTTGAAGTGAAGGGCCCACTTAGATTGGTGGCTGTAAGAATGAAGGAACACATTCAAGCAGAGTTTGATTTGGCTTGAAACGTTCATGCTGTCTGCTTAGACCCAATCAGTACACGCCGTTTTCTTTTTTACGAAACTATCTTAGAAGCAAAAAGGGCTTTCGAAATCCCAAGAGAGTCAGAATATAAAGAGGGTTTCAAATAACTCACGAAGCCTGGTGGTAAGAAACTGTTAGATTCGGTTTTACAGCATTCTGAATTCTTTGTTTGGCCAAATTCTCTGGGATTCGATCGAACGACACTTCGTATGTACAGCACAAGTCTGGATACAACATAAAACAGAATATGGTAAGCAGCTTCAAGATCCCGTCATCCTGCGTCTCGGTGCCTTTAACCAAGAGCAACGACAATAGTCAGCTATTAGTAGTAAACTCGACCCCAGGCTCAACAGACGATAATGAAGTTTCAGTGATAATCAGTGTATCGGTTGTATACTGTTCGTTCTGGGGAGCTTCCGTCGTACGCCAATAAACATACTAAAATAAACAGCTTTAATCTAGGCCTATCTATTTCTTCCAGGAACTACTTCAACTCAGAATCTCCTATATCTGTGAAAGGGATATTTATCATAAATCGTCTTTTTGTGATTGCTGACACAGAGTGGAAGAAATTACCCGAAATTTCTTCTGCAATATATTGGCAGGTATAGTAACACGGGGACGCCAGATCAATTCATGTTCTGCTAACCGTGTACTTGGGAGGCTTTGCGCCGATTCGAGGTATACCGGTAAACAGTTTGTATTGACAGTATTGTAAGCAAATTAGTGACCCTCTGCCCGGAAATCACTTCTAATCACAGAAGCCAAAATAGTTGCAGAAGACTTTACTCTTCATTCTGGTACGCTCAATCGATGGATCTTGTCGCATGTCTGGATTCGTTTTTCTTTATTTCTTCTGATAAGCTATGTATTTCATGGCGGCACAAGCTTTGGATTTTGGAGCGGGAAGCCGAAAGACGTCCCTGCAACCACAAGCTACGACTTTGATGCTCCCCTCTCGGAAGCTGGTGACATGACCTACAAATACGAATTGCTGCGCAAAGCCATTCACAAAGTGGGTTCCTGCCAAACTTTCTTAATTTTTATGCAATAAGTACTTCTCTAAACAGGGAAGAATCATTCTTGTAGCAGAGCTTTTGATTAAATGTTCCCTCGTAGCAAGAGCTGTCTCTTAAGAAATTGTCCCTTAAGACAACGTAGACTAAGCAGCTTGTTCCACAAGCTTGGCTTTTTCCGTTTCAGTCTTGTCATTGAGGCACTTCATCGAATTTCGCATTGTACCTACATGCTTTGGGAATAGAACCCATGTTTTCAGACTGGGTTGTGATTCACCTGATGAAGGCTTCACCTCTGTCATCGCAGACAGAGATCGCTATATAAGTGTCTTCTCAGTACCTTGAGAACCATTAAAGACATATATGTACGTAGCTCCCTCAGAAGGTGAGAACATTCCAGTGCCAGCGAACATTTTTCAATGACAAAAGAATACAATAAAATGATATATGTGTATAATTATATTTGTCAAAATGTGCAGCATGGGAAAATATTTTGAATTTTATTAAAGTACGTAGAGCTGCGGGAATTTCAGCGGAAGTTTTGTTCTATAAGTTAAGCCAGTCTGTGCTTAAAAGTCAGTCGACACTGTACAAATGTTTCATCGTTACTAGGAGTTACTAGCATTGAACACCACGTGAAACTTTAAAGATTTTGGAACTCGCAAAATGCCCGCTTGAAACTGGCAACTTATCGTTTAACTACTGCCGGACGATCAGTAGTGTGAATAACCCGCATTCTAAAAATGGCGCCATTCTCCCTACAATTACGAGATTTGCATGGCTCTCTTTGAATGAGGTTCACACGTGGTGTGAATTAATCTTCCCTTTGCGCTACCTGTATCTTTCCAGCATTATGGAATAAGTGATAAAATTTACTGGAGATTTGGATTGTTTTTTTTAGTATTTCATTTCCAATGGTTTGAATGGTGTGCGTTATAAAACAATTCGCCACATGCACCATCCCGAAACCTGGTGCAACAGGTGACCGTGTTTGTCAAACCTCCAACGATTGGCCAACCTCGTGTGAGAGATTCTGTGGGTGCTGTATGGACAGCACTCAGTATGGCTAAATAGATCACGAAGACACACAAATCGGGAGGTCCAGCTCACGTAGTCCTGAATTGTTAGTTTCCAAGAGGAAAAGCTACAAATGTCTCAAGGGTTCCAGCAAATCACAAGCGACCTATGCGATAGAGGCCAGTGTCACTAACAAGTATGTACAAGGAACTTCCATCACCATCCGGCTGTTATGAACTTATTGAACTCTATAGAAAATTTCATGTCAGAGTCTGTCAAAGAATCGTAGAATCGTTGTTACTCGATTTGAAATTGAGTACTCTATATAGCAGGGTGAGTTGAACAACGGCTTTATACGTACAAACTGGCCTACTAGGTCCAATATCAGAGTTCTGGTCGAGTTCTCAGAGGTTGGGACATAACCACAATAAGAAAAGCACTGAGTGATTAGATGGAGTTGCACGTCACCGACAATAATTTCTGTGGATATTTCTTTGTATGAAATGAGTTGAAAAGTACAGTGGAAACCCAGTTGATGGAAGCATATCACGGAATTTGCCAAGGTGACACTTCATGCCTGGTCTGGCTAGAGAGATTACACTCTGAATATTAAGGGTGTATTTTGATCAATTTACCGCCTTCCCATCTTGAGAACTGGCTAAATTCACACACTGGGGTCGTCGCTGGGGTGTAGCTTGTTTCATTATCCTTTGATAGACGGGCTTAAAAGTATAAAGTTCAAGGCCATAGGAGTGGAAAGTACGAGCCTCCTGAAATTCACATTATTTTGAGTTCTGACTGTCAGCTTGAATGCTGAGTGGTTTTCTTCCAACGGCTGATTTTCATGTCTTCTTTTCCGATAACTCAGTTTCGAAGTCGGCCACTGCCTCCACTTCCCAAAAATTCGACAAAGAAAGCTTACGGCGAAATCTCAATGAAACTTGTAAGTGTTGAATGCAACCCTATTGGAAATGAATTCGAATTTCATGAAGTCGGACTACCTTTCAGCAGTAGAACAGAGTTAAATTCCTTGGGATTTGCGTCATCAATAAAATCGTCGTGAGGTGCTTGTGAATAAAATAAATGAAGCAAAAGTAACGTTTCAGTTGTAAAATTTTCTGTGTGACCAGACTGGAATTTTTATTACATTTGTAAATGTGTCGCCAGAGTGTCCAAAATACTTCGAGCACCCACCAGCAGTCGTGGCTCTGGTTTCTAAAATGATCATCGGTGTTCTATTTTAGATAAGATAACGGCGATAGTTCTCCTCTGCGGAGGCTAGTAACAATGCGCCTAAAGTCCGCATGAGAACTGTTGAATTGGTATTTTTTTCACAATGTCAATCTTAGTTCCCTTGTACCTTCGTGCTCTACAACAGGGCTTGCCTGTTTGCACATCAGTTATTACCTTTCGTATACTACCGGGTCACTTCACCGTGAGAGATGTATCTGGTTTCGATCACGTCATAAATTAGGGCTGCCTACACTGACGAACACAGCTATCACGTGCTCACTGAGGGTCCTATTTGATCCTCGACCATTGAGGTGTAAATGGTAGTAGAAAACGAGGCATTAGGTCTAACTGTCACGACACTATCTAACACAGTGGGTTGACAAGGATGAATACGTGAACCATGAAAAACTTCTTCTAAACCACTGGAAAGGTGTTCCTGTGTCCGGGATTACCCGGCATGTTGTGCCACGCACTGTGGCCACTGGCTAATAGAGGCAACATTCAGACATTAGTTCATGTTCAGGAAAGCTAGGTGCGATTAGAGGCAAACGCGTTCACACACAAGTTGCGTTTCACTCCCACTAATTTTCCTAAACAAATGCACAATGACATGGAAGTTTTGATATTGCTCACGAAATATTCTGTCATACATTGACGGAAAGCATACAATTCAGAGGCGCTTCGTTCGGTTAGTCTCAAGCCCGCCAAATCCAATCTGGCATACCGTCCTTCAAGAATCATTTTATGGTTATTTTTGTCATGTACTTGGACCGCAAGTTCCTGATCAGCAGTCTGATTAACCCACATTTAGACAGGATCCACATCACATAGATTCAGGCCTTCACTGGCTTCTCGAACAACGACTCATATGGAAGCATCTAACGTCGGGAGAATTCTATTATTCCACCGGGTTACTTGTAGATTGTCAGTAACGTGAGGAGATTTGGAAATTTCAATGGTGGATCCTTCGTGGATGTGAAGACAAACTATGCCAAGTAAACGCGCTTTTCAGTTTCAGTCAGGGAAGAAGCTATTTTTTCTCACCCTACACAAAAGACGTTCAAATTTTGCCGTGATCAGATTAATGGCTTCAGTATGGCGTGTGGCCCAAGTTTTCCTTCATTGCTCTTGTAAGTCAGTGTCCACTAAGGACTTCCGACCTTTGAGTTGTGCAAGCTGTGCTCCGCTACCGCCACCAAAAATAGGTGAACCGACTCTGATTCAACTCAACCTCTTCAGATGCATCTAGAGTTTGCCTAAATTACATGGATATTTACTTATGACTTAAGATAGACTCACTTAATTTTTTGAATGCATATCTCACGTACTACAAATAATTGTGCTCATCAGTTACACACGCTAACTGATGTACGCTATTTTGGGTGAACCCTAAAGTACATGGATATTTACTTATGACTCAAGATGGACTCACTTAATTTTTTGAATATATATCTCACGTACTACAAATAACTGTGCTCATCAGTTACACACGCTAAATGATGTACGCTATTTTGGGTAAGAGTTTTTTGTATTATACTTATAAAGTACAGTTATTCAAATGATGGAAATCTGTTCTTTTTTCTCGAAACCTACTCACCACGGAACAGATTTCCCACTTGCTGCTTCAACGTGGACCAAAGGTGGAGTCGCCAGTTGCGATGTCTATGGAATTGCTACGCCAAGTGAGGTTCACATCATTGGTCTATTACGTCACCTGGGTTACTCAAATAGTCTTCTGTCTTCGGACACAGTTTCGCCGATATAAGATTACCTTTTTAGTTTGGTTTTACTAGTCCCCACTACTAGCATAACCGGACAGCGACATGAATTGCAAAGTTCCGTAAAAGTCCAGGAATGAACGGCTGAGAACTTTCTCTCGACATTCTTTATCAGTGGCCCAAGAAAATCTCTGAGAACAAGGACATGTTTATTTTGTAGTATCGTGTCTTTTACAGATGGGCGCTCCACGTTATAGACCGATTCCTTTACCGAGCAGATTGAAGTGCTGTTCATACGAACAATCATAGCATTAGTTACGTCTTATTTGTACTATGCTGTTTTTATCAAGCCAGATAAACTGTTACTTCAGGCGAGTCACGGTATGTATCCAAAAAATATTGAGATAAACTGACCAGAGGAAATTCAAGCGGCATTTTAGACTCTAAAATTGCGACGCGGTCCATCCGATATTTTAGCGGACGTTTTATTCCTCAAGATCCCACTATCGACAGAATCCTGGTCACCTGTCCAATCGGTAGGCGAGTGTGATGTTGGTGTGCCAGCCATGCCCACAGAGTTTATGCTCCTCAACTAGCCTGGCAGCGACGATCCTTCAGAACTCCTGTGTCAGGGGAAAGACAAACACCTGTGTCCTACGAATCAGTCTTTCCTTAATTGAAAGGGAAATCCGTGTGATAGTCTAAGGCTGAATTTCCATATTACATGCATAGCATTTCGCCGCGTTACCCAAGTTGCCTTCAGTGTGCTGTCACTGATCTTTTGTCGATTTGTCTCGGTCGACATGTACCTGTAGAAAACATTTGTGAAGGGATGCAGAAAGGAACCCTTTGTTCATGTTCTGCTAACTTTGATGTGCAACTCATCCTCCAAAGAGTTTGGAAGACAGTTGTGCACTTTCAAGTGAATTCCTAAGGTAATGACCCATCCGGCTGCTTTGTTCAAAGGTACACATTCAGGATTGAATCAAACAGTCTCTAAGTCAATACTTGATCGCTTAGAAGGCGACGGTTTTAATAGGGGAATGATGATAACTATGTTCTCTAGACTCGTAAGCATGCCCTGCGAACTCGCCACTACTGCTGGAAAGGAAGATAACGGTACGAGCATTCTGAAGGTTAGAAGAATATAAAAGTTTATGAACCGCGATGAAGTCCATGGAAATGAGAGAGGTACGTCAATGAAGTGATAATTACTCGTGGAAGCGTCAGCAACAAACCGAGAGAGCTATCTGAGAACAAGTGCACAACTGTCCAGCTTGATAAACATGTCTGCTTCCATTTTCACTGCGTTCTTTTCCTTCACAGTATGACGGATTTGTGATGTACTGTGCAACAATACCAGCCGGAAAATCTGAACTCAACGTCACACTGACAAAATTTGCAGACATTGCACACGTATTCACAAGCGATGGTGGGCTGGAGATGTTTGTGAGTTGGTTTGAGTTGGATGTTTGTTTGTACAAAAGTTTTCAACACAGGGTTTTTTTCTGTTCTCAACACGTGAATGTGTCCACTGGCTACACTATGGCATTCGTAACGTTTATCAGAATTTTTCTGGCCACAAAATTGCCAACATTCAGCTTCAGGAAAAGGCGCTTTAGAATACGAATTAATAACTAAGTAAAGAAGAACTTGCTTGGGCAGATAGAATTACCAACTGTTCCCTGGGATCCGTTTCAAGCATATATCTTCTGGACTTTTCTCCTTACTTAATTATCACGTTTGCAAGGCATTTACTTTTTGGAATATGATTGGAAAGTTTGCGGCGCATCGTTGCCTCCCAGTCCACAAAAGTCATCTGAGCTTTGCAGCACTTATTCGTACTTTTCATGTCGAGGGATTTTCCCGATTCCTTTAATATCCAACCAGTTTCTTCCTAAATCATTCCACAGATTCCACATGCAAGGGCACACTAGGAAGAGGTGCTAACTAGCCTGTTCATCCCACTGTACCGGAAGTTAGTGTCTCCCACCTCCCAAACTCGCACAACCCCGTAGTTAATGTTAAGCTCTGCTGGGAGTCTACGACGGTGCAAGAATAATAATTCCAGGATATGGAGTTTCCCTGAGCACTGCGGACTTAAGTGACTCATCAGGGCCGAGGCCTGAAACATTGTCAGACCACTGACTGGCACTTAGGCGGATCGTCTGTATTCCTTTTTCAAACGGGGCAAAAAGATAGAGAAAAACCCTAAGATGATGTGAAAAAATGGCCTGAAAGCAAAGACTGTCTTACGGTGCAAGTGTTCTGTTGATTCGAAGCTTGTATGATGGTTTATGTTACTATCCAGTCTACCTGGAGGTCTCCCACACGCCAGCTGGTGTGCAGGGGAATTCGGAACATATCTCCCGCTAACTCGGAAACCGGATGTCCAGCGAGTTCAAAGAATTCTGCAGACAATCCATCGTCTAAGTAGGATTGCCTGCCGATAATCCGACGACTGCTAGCTACGTGAGACACTGGATGACCCGTTTTGGGGGTTTATATATCGACCTTATATAATGAGACTGTTTCAATATGTCAGCAGAGAGAGAACTGTCCATTCGTGAAGTATTCATGCTTGAGCTTTTTCAGCAATCGCAATTGTAGGGGAATGCATGGCCTTTTTAAAACATCTGAGTTCAATGCGCAATGAAATGACCAAAGTCCACGACAATCGTTCACGACCTAGATGGAGGAATCTTCAGACACCTAATATGTTAACCTCAGCATCTGAAGACGAAAAGGTAGCCATTGCTGAGGGGTACTTCTGTAGTGGAAGTAACAGCCATCCTTAAAGTCCATGCATTAGCTCAGTTTAGTTTAGTGTGAACTTTTGTCAGATATCGCTTCAGAAGAAAAAGTTTAACTACAATCTGGATCCCTTTCCGGCGAGATGCACGTTTGAAGTAAACACGGTAACCACAGCATACACTTTTGGGAACATTTCGTCTACGTTGCTTTCGTATGTAGTGCCTTATAACGTGGTAGTTATAACCACTCCTGTACCTTCCGTAAAGAATTTATGTTGTTGATGTTCGGGACCTTAAATCTACCGTCTACCAATCAGGGTGCGCTGGTAGAAACGTGTTTGCTCTGCCTTTACGAATCAACAACTCTTTTGAGTCTCCCGGTGGTGAACTTTGTGGCGCGTGTAGATTTGACTATTCCGAAAATTCAAAGGAAGAATTGGGTTCTAAAGGCTACGGTACTATGTACACCTAGATCGTCTGTATTCGTGGCGTCAACAAGCGCACAGGTCTGTGACGGACCGGCATAACGCCATGTCAAGGTCCACAAGCCAGACAACGGTGAGCAGAAGGTTGGCTCGTTGGCTTGAGCCCACCTCGTCTCTTCTGATTGGCGGTGCGATCAAACGAAAGTCACGACCAAGTAAGTCAGAGCAGGTGGAGCAGAATGAACAAGGAAAGCTCACGCGTAAGTCAGTCAGCTGCACGTACCCGCAGGCTAGTTCACCAGTTGCGGACGCGACGGCCTTTGCTGCATGTTACAAATGAGCAAAACATGTGCCGTTCAAAAGTACACGGACAGAGTAATCAGGTGATGAGTAATCAAATCATGTTTTCACCAAGTCAGCTCGCAAGGTCGGTTCCTGGTCAGGTGGCTAGGAATCTAGTTGTTTACGTCTACGTTCAGGAAGTAAGGACTTTTGAATTTGATCTCCATAGGCGATAGGACAGCGTCTCATGATAACTTTATGCGTAGGTTTACAACCGTGCTGTGTACAAAAGGCTAACCAAACGTAGGCTACCTGTTAGTAATGTGAATAGATAGGCCATAGTGTTACGAGTGGAGATTGATGCGTTTGGACGACCTACTTTTTAGAAAGATCCAGCTGGGTTCCAGGTGAGTGTCTCGCAAAACCAAATTTGTTTGCAACTGAGTGTAGTTCGCTAATGTAAGACCTCTTTTGTTCGAAAGACCCAGATATGACGTGGTTTCCAACTTTCTTATCCGACATTCTATGCAGCACTGGCACGGGAATTTGAAGGCCCCCAACAATAAGATCAGCTTGTATATGCGAGAACTTCCATCACATACAAAACTAATGCTATTGCTGGAAAATACTGGATATGTGAATTTCGGCGAGCTGATGTGGAACAATATCAAGGTGAGACCAGTTTTCAGCCTTCTCACTGGCTCAATCGATACATTTTGTGTGTGTAGAGAGAGAGAGAGAGTTCTTGAACAAATGTACTCCTTTAACTTTCGCCTAAAAATCCCTCAGTGAAGCTCTCCAAAGTACTCCTTTTAGCTCGGATCAGGGATGTGCACATTGGGGTTGCGGCTGCACTAAATTGCGTCTTTTCTCTTTCCGTGTTAATCAAACTCATTTCGGGTTACACCCAACAAGCACTGCGGTTCACATTTCGTATGAAGGACATGTTTAGGTTTGGTGGCTTTCTTTAGTTTCCACTGGATATTCAGCTAAATTCATACATATTTGGTATCAGCTATATGTCGTCCAGAAAACGAATCGTTTGAGAGAACTGCAATGAGGTTCAAATGATACTGGCTCTACCCCAAACCCTAATTGATCACACAGATGCACATTTTTACTGAATGAGTTGCACTTTTAACCACAAAGCCTGCGATCCTGACAATCAAACCTAAGACCCGGAATTGTCATTGTGCTTCGTACTGGGGATATCTTGGTCAAGCAGCCATCGATCAACATATTTAGTTATGCGCTAGAAGCCTTCCAGTGAAGCCTTATAATACGAAACAATCTAGAGATCCATAGCATCAAGCCCGAATTATATTAAAGGAGTTAGGCTTTCATCACAGTTTGTCTCTCCGAAGCATTAGATGACTCCAACATGTGAGAATGGTGAAAGGTACAATATTCTCGGAGGGGCTCACAAAGTGGACTAGCGGATTCTGATCTTATAAGGAGATCATTTCACGTTTACAGAATGTTGCTGTCTGTTAGCTTCAATTCACCATTAGGTGGGTGTGTTGGCTTTTCCTTGCAGAACCGTGACTGTACTGCGCGACGTATGTTTTTCATTCCGGTGAGGCACCGAGTACACCGGAAATGCTCAAGCGACCAAATGAACTGAAGTCAGTCATTCAGACGTGGTAGATACTCTGACTTCTGAATTGGCCCGACAGATTTGCGGACTAGTTCGGATGGCACCAATCAGCACTCGAACCTCCAAGGATTGTTAGGACATGAAACAACCAGGATTGCAAAATAACGTTTGTGCTGATGTTTCAGTTACGGTTGCGGTGCTACATACAAATAATGCCGTCGCGAACCATCGTAATCGCGGTATGCATAGACTAGACTGGTTGAGATGACACGTGGGGATGAAGAGAGTGGAAATCGATCAAGATGTTCATTAGTGTAGTCAGGCCATCATTTGCCAGGCAACGGGATTTCCTCAAGCGCATAGCCACAGGTAAACAAAGCAACCTTTATTACGGGGTTTCTTGTCACTTGAATCAGTACATATATCGTGCTTTTCTTAACTTCGGTAGGGACTCTTGGGCACTGTGACCGCAAACAACCAAATTTTGGGGCCGTGGGAGATGATGCCGATCAAACCATTGGTGGAACTCGACCAGTAAGTTGAAAGAACAAGTACCTGCCAATAATTGTCCAACTTGATTAAGAGCGCTAATAAATTTTATCGCAATTGGATTAACTTGTTCACTTGGCTCACATACATATCCAAGACTGTCCTCGAAAAAACAAGCCGTTGCTTCCCGAACGAATGTTTGTCAAAGTGAGATGGCTCGGACGCTGCCTTTCGCCTTACACGTGATTATCAGTTTTCCATCGCTTCGCCGCAACCCAGCATAGATTAATAGAAGCTGAAGCCTGTATGCACCGCTAAAGCTTTCCTAGACTGAATCGTTAACATTTCCCTATTTCCAAGTTCGCTGGCCCGAAATCTCCTTTAGGAGATGAAACTTTGCTTATTCCTGAATCTTTGCTCCGATGAACTTTCCTGAATTACAAAACGGGCGAAAGCTCTTGATGGGATTCAAACGCACAATCTCTTGACCATCCGGAGATACACGCCCGCAGGTTGTGACACGAGGTTGATGAGAGTTTGGTCCTCATTCCGAAGGTGCTTATCTCTGTTGTCCATGTGTATCGTCCACAGAAACCATACACGAGAACCGGATTAGGGTTGTGATTCGCCAGTCAATTTGTTATACTCGGACAAAGTCCATGGTTCATTGGTCCATAACGAATAAACCAAAAATTGTTGGTAGAACCAATTCCCATACTGCTACGCTGTCAACGAAAGCGCTAGATTGGCAACGCGTTATGCTGAGAAAATATGCTTCGATATCTCGCCCATCATGCCAACTAATGCATCAGGCGGACGTTCGCAGCATTTCCATTTGAAAAATACCACACACCAAGGAACCGGTATTGTACAAATGAATACATTTCGCCATCTGCTTGCAGTGTGGGACTGAAGCTGAGTATACAATGGATGAAAAGTCAAACACGGCGCCTACCTAATAAGTCCACAAAACTGGCAGAAGGCTGTCGACCAAAGTTTTCTCCTACTTTCTAAACTGAGCGATGAAATTCGCTTAGCATTCAATGTTTGTACTATGACGTTCCACTCCGATGTCATATATTGGCACTCGAAAACCTTGAGTAGGTACGTTGAATTAGTTGAAAAGCGCTTGGAATCGATTGATTAGTTATTGTTTTCGGTAAATTTTTGTAACAATTGGTAGATCTGGTCGTTGGCTTGTTCGCAGAGCTGGGCGATTCGGTTGCAAACGTTCATCACAAATTCGGGGTGACATCATCAGTGCGTTGTTGTGCGTAGCGGTGGGTTAGTGGTTGTGCACAACAATTAACCCACCGCTACGCACCACCACGCTCCCCAATAACGCAATGATGATGTCACCTCGATTAGTGACCTCGATTGGTTTGCAACCATATTGCCCAGCTCAGCGAAAAACCAACGACCATCTAAGCTACTTGAGCCACCGACACTCTTCTCAAAGCGCTTGGAATCGATTGATTAGTTATTGTTTTCGGTAAATTTTTGTAACAATTGGTAGATCTGGTCGTTGGCTTGTTCGCAGAGCTGGGCGATTCGGTTGCAAACGTTTCATCACCAATCGGGGTGACATCATCAGTGCGTTGTTGTGCGTAGCGGTGGGTTAGTGGTTGTGCACAACAATTAACCCACCGCTACGCACCACCACGCTCCCCAATAACGCAATGATGATGTCACCTCGATTAGTGACCTCGATTGGTTTGCAACCATATTGCCCAGCTCAGCGAAAAACCAACGACCATCTAAGCTACTTGAGCCACCGACACTCTTCTCTATTAGTAGATCTATTTCTGGGCGGCGTTTCGCGTTCGGAATGGAAGCTTCTTCAGTCCAAGTGACTAGGTTAAGGAATTGGTTGAGATTTAAGGCGAAAGGAGAACCAGTCAGCTAAGTCAAGCTAAACCTGCGTCAGGTTCTGCCTAAGGGATGTCGTGCGTTAGAAGGGTCATCAAGTGTTAAGTCAATGGTGAAACCGACATGGATATGGCTCCAGCTTAGAGTCTAGTTCTTCCATCCCTCTTGAACGCCGTTCGCACTCTTCGTCCACCTGCTGCGATTATTGCGTAGGGAAGAGGGAGTCTGTGACCTTTGGTTGGGTTGGGATTTCCGCCCCCTTGAGAACCCTACAAAGTCAAGTGTCAACCCGGCTTATCGCAAACTACTTTCCATACGCTCGCCAGTTCCACACCCTTGATTTTATTCACGCTGTGATGCTTGGTAGTTTTCACCGCCTCGCCTATTACCAGCTGTGATGTGAATCGCAGTTCCCGTCCTAAAACATCCACATTTTCCAGATCTATTCTATGTCCCGTGTCTAAGGCATGTAGCGCTCTCGATGGGTCTTTGACCAGCGTTTGGTATTCTTCTGCATTACCTGGTGGTTTGTTTATCCTGCTTTAATGCTCATCAATTCTGGTGTGCAATCCCCTGGCAGTTGGTCCTATTCAAACCTTAGTACAATCGTTGAATTTAGTTTTATACACACAGTTCCTTATCCTTTCAACCGGCAAGGGATCTTCCAACTGCACCAAAACTAAGCATAGCGTTTTTCCTTTCTAAAAAGCCTATCAAAAGTCTTCGAAAAATCTCCGACATTCCCGCTTTACACAGAATGTCTGCTGTGCCAATCTCTTCCTTATCAAGTTCAGAGATCAGAGCCAATATCTTGCCGCCCAGCAATAAATCTACCAATTATCACCAAACTTTTTTGAAAACCTCTAGTAGGATTACTTGCCCAAATTTTCCCAGTTTAGTCCGGTGGGTTCAACTACTCAGCAGTTCTCATAAAAATAAGTATGTCTTATCTCACTTTTCACGACATGTTTTCTCCAAGGAGGGCTATTTTGAAGCATAAATCCGATGACCTGCCGGTTCAGGGAGCCATATTCACAGGCGATTTGACAATCCCCGAAGCTAGCGATCTCGCAGACACTTTCATTGAACCTGTGGGATTCAGTCGGGTAAGTTCGAGAGATTATGAGTTGTTTTTGGGATTGTCGGCTGTCTTTCATCATCGGCTTAAGCGGTTGTCAACTTCCCGAAAAAAATATTTTTTGAGCTCTGGTGTCTATAGCAGACGCAATCAGTAATTAGAAGGATGCAAAGCGGGAGGAATCAAATAGAATATGCAGTTTTGTTCATTTGGTTAAAATTTACACCCCGGTCTTGTGTATACACTTAGAAGTTCATGAACTGTTCGAATATTACTCATTTTGAGTGGTTCGTTGGAGGACCATGAGTGCCTTAAATGTTTACATTCTGAAGAGTCAAGCGACATAATTGGTAGGATGGTTGCGGTGAAAGGGACGAAAACTGAGGAAACAGAAAAGATTATGATCCTGTGAGGTGTACAAACTGGCAGATGCTTTAAAGCCCAGCTTGTGACTGAGCAACCAGACAAATATCGCCCTTCGTTAATTTTTTTAATGTGTTAGCTGGGTTAAGTGCGAACTTCCAAACCCGCGAAATGTTGCGACATACTTGCTTCCTATCATAGTGGGTTTCTAGCAAAAGAACCTGTCCTTTCGAGATGGACTGATCGAGCACTGAAAGCATCGCATTTGAACAACAATTTCTCAGTTTTGATTTGATTCAATTGATGCATTGTTTGCATAACAATCACTGACCCCCGTTTGACCGTCCTCTAATCACCCCAGCCTCGGTCCCTAACGATGACACATATCTGGGAGGTGCGCAAGTTTTGGCAATGCCATGAGGTGCGTCACTCAGAATGAGGAAGAATCCAATCGTTTTCACTTTTGAGGGGTCTTGTCACTATTTTTATTTTTACCCTTTGCTTACGTATTCTGCTCAGATACCTCATCCGTCAAATGAAAATAGACTGAAACAGATCTATTTCAGATATTAGGTTTTACAGAGTAACTCATAAACACAAAGGAAACTACTTACACTTTGCTGAAAACCCTTCGATAATCTTTGAAAACATACTGCGATATCTCGAATATCGTACCAATTGAAACATGAGGCGCCTTGTGTGCAGCAGTTGAAGAATATCATAAATGAGAGATTCCATTGAGCTTCTCGGTAAAACCGAATTGATTTGCAAAAGAGTGTAATTATCAAGATATTCCTTTTCATTTTGAGGTCGCCTTTCTCCGTCGCAAATCTTGGTGGTTTTCACTGATCCAAAATCAACTGCTGGCCGACACTTGTAGGAATTTTTCTTTTAAATATTCCGGACGATAACCACTGCTCAAATAACACGACGGGATTGTAAGGAATGTGTTTTCGACAGCTTGACCTATTCGGGACTAAAAAGCCACAGTCTCATGCAGAAACCTGTTGGACTGCTGCAGTAAATGTAACTGTCTGCTAATTAAAAAATGGGGCACTAAGGTTTATGTCGCAACCCGTTACTGATGCTCACGTTTATTCTATATGGTTTGTCTCCTCTTCCCTGTCACTCGGTCGATTAGATCATATCCATGACATTGCTATTTACAGGGTTTTGCAGCCGTGAACAACCACCTTCTTGGACATTTTGATCAAAATTTGGGGCCGCAGTTACGTCTTTACGTGCCGAAGCAGTTTCTGACTCCTGGCCAAAATCGTATCATCGTGTGTGAGCTTCAAACCCTCTTGGAACCCACGCCGAAGGTGTGGTCGTTTGCGGAAACAAAATGGACCGTTAAAGCTGAGTGAATTGGAAAAATCCCTTCGTGGGTCTGTTGCTAATTTCTTGCTCCCCCAAAATATACTCCGAAGACTTTCGTCATTGAAGCTGAACGGTTGATATTTTGAAGCAATCTGTTGATGAATTTTTCCATTTCTTATAAATTTAGTAATGTAGTATCACAAACGTTTCCACTCTCAGTTTAAAACAATACCGTAACGACCAATATTCTTCAATCTTCGTGATCGTTTTTTGCTAAAATAAACCTTTTTCACAGTACATCATCTTGAACTTTGCTTACACAGATCATGTTTACCAAAGATTTACAACCGTACAGAATAAATAAACGGTCACATTTGAATTTTTTATAGTTCCCGTGTTTTAATGCTGTCCCTTTTGTCCGGCTGAACACAAGATGACACATAAATTCCCTTCACTTCGTAAAACCTGAAATAAGTCCAAGAGGAACACGTAGTAAGCTCTACTGAGTTATGCGTTCGCGGTAACTTGCAACATCTGGCCGCTGAAATCCGCATCTGCGACATTCTTCGCAGTGCAGGATGGAAAAGATGCACCAAATTAGTGAAATACACTCATTTGCAAAGAATGTTTTTTGCGAGAGACTCACCTGAAACTCAGATGAATCACTCGTTTGTGATGTTTCAGGTAAAACATAATTTTGACGGTAACTCGGGGACTGCGCTTACTTGATGAGTCCAAAGAGGAAGGGCGAAAGCTTTCGTAGGCTGTGAAAGAATTTTCAGCAACCTTATAAGTAGTGCGTTACAAAGAAGAGAGAGCTTAGTGCGTCCGGCATACTTCAGTTAGTTTTCAGATCATCAGTCAGTTTCATCGACTTGAATACAGCCATGGTTGCTCACAACTTAGCTTACAGTTCCTGATTAAAATAAGCTATCACCGCCTAAAAACATTTTCTTTGAAAAGCACAGAAAAAAGGCGCGGATAGTGGGTTGGTTCCAGGGCGAGTGAATTTCACTCTATTCATGTACTCGGTTTCGAATGCAGTTATTGTTGACAAATACGCGAATACGGGGTTCACCATAGTGTTGGGTGTTTGATAAGACACCAAGGAAGGTAAACAAAAACAGGCTACTGGTGAAGCCTTCTTTAGTTATTTTCCACATACTTTATCTTCCGTTCCCTCCAGTCCATTGATAAATCCGTCTTTGTAGGCCCGTCAGTTAGGACTGACAAATCAGTTCACCCTGTCTCGGTATTGGCAGAAACGTCTGTGCAAAATCCGGTGCTGACATTCTCAGGCAGCTCGAAGCAAATCTTCAAGACTCGACGCCCTGCCTATCTGGCTATTATCTATCTTTTTGTGCACAGAATGTTGCCTGCTTTAATATCTAATCTAGAAAGTGGCGATCTCAATGCTCCACTTACTGGCGTTAAGTAATATGACAGAAACTTTTTTTGTGACAAGCTCTTCGAATCAATTGAGTATCCAAAACGAGAATGCTCACCCACAAGACATCTTGGGTTTGTTTTTCTCCAGTAAATATCAAATAATCATCTTGGCGGGATTATATTTGTTTATGATACGATACACTCATTTGCAAATCACGAGAGACTCAACTGAATATCTCGTTTATAATATTCTACAACTGAATGTGCTGCACGCAGGCCGCCCCATGTTTCATTTGGCACGATATTCGAGATATCGCAGTATATTTTCTTGGAGGAAGCTACTCACAAGGTTGCTGAAAACTCTTCGACGGCCCACCACCATCACCCTTGATTTGCAAATGAGTATATTTCTTGAAAACAGTCGAATTTTGGGTTCAGGTAGATCATAAGGTTGACGGAAACTCGAGACTGCGGCTACATGATAAGCTCCAAGGAGAGCGAGACAGGTCGTGGGTTGTCGAAGAGTTTTCAGCAACCTTGTGAGTAGTTTCCTTCATTAAAATACACTACGATATCTCGAATATCTTGCTAACTGAATCATGAGACGGTCTGTGTGCAGCATATTCATTTGTAGAGCACCATTAACGAGAGAATCAGTTTAGTCTCTCGTGAAAATCAAATTGATTCCCAAATGAGTGTATTTCTCGAAGACAGTCCAAATTCGGTTAACGGAAACCTCTTGGTTTTGTGTTTCTCCATTAAATATCAATCAATGATCTTGACATAGTCATATTTGTGAAGCATCGCATGTCACTTTATCCGCGTTATTTGTCAAAGAATTGGATTGTTTATGATCTACGTTTTCAACATTGGAGGCGGCTGTTCACTTGTTCTGAAAAGATAAGTTATTACGGAAAAAAAAACAAAATGAAGTTAGTGGATTAAGGCTTGTAAGCAGAATGAATACGATCGTGGCTCATGTGGGACCTGTTTGGGGGAATAGTCTTTTAGGAGGTGACTGAACATCAGAGGCTGTATGAACTTGAAAACCCACCGTAACAATTGGAAGCAGGTACCAGCTAAGCTGTACATGTTAGTTTCATACCGTTCCGAACAAGTAACCTTTTGGAGCACTACTTTCAGTAGTACGAGGGTCGTCCTCCTCGCCCAGTATTTGGCGAACCGAATGCTGTTTGGCATGGTTTCTTCAGGTAGAATAATGTCATATTCAAACAAATCGTTGGACCGATTTTAATTTTTCTGTGTAGGTCTCTGGTAGGTCTAAAGACCTATATGAATACTAGGATTATGAGCAGAGCGTAGAGTTGGTGAATGCGCTTTCCTCTTTAGCGAACAATGGGGTGCATGGGCCGAAGACAACTGATGTAGAAACCAACCAAGAGGTACTTTGAGGTGGACAAGAACCGAATACTTCACATGGAAATCGAATATTTAGGTAGTATACCCTTCAATAAACTTACCGAAGTAAAGACGGCGTCATTCGTATACTTAGATAGCTGATTACAAATATTTACCTTCAATATTAAAAAACGAAACAAGTAGTGTGTTTCAGATCCCTGCCAATCAGGTTTGTGTTTCTGAGTCGAACACAACCTGTCCTCTATGCACCGTCCACTGAGACCCTGTCGTACAACTTTTTGTAATAAAGGAGGTTGTCTCTCTGCAACCCGAAGGTTCATCTGGAGCTGTTGGCATGACTACACGTTATGTTGCCGTAGTGACTGACGAAGCAGTTCAGGATCACTGGGACAACAGAAAGTACGAGGAATAATGCGGTCGCAATCAGACGGCCTTTTTGGTGCACATATTCTCTTCTAAATCGGGCTCAATATTCCGAAATTCCCCGTCTTATCTTTTTTTCAGTTGTTCCTGCGAATTAAGCTTTTCTCAGAAAAGGCAAAGCATCCGGTACTTGCGTGAAACCTTCAAGCCTATCGCATTCGGTGTGAAACTTCATAGTCTGAGGAAAACTTCTGGCGTTCATAAAAGCATGAGCGTTCACTAGGAGCCGCATGTACTTACGATAACACGCGTGCTGCACAAATTGGTCAAGAGACATCCACAAGGATTTCTGAACACGTTTCATTATATGGGGCGAAACTGCCAACGTGCTCTAATGCATGCCACCTATTCGGCTGTAATTTTTGCTCATAACTTGAAAGTCTGTCTCTCCTCATCCGACGACACATTCTGTACCTGCATACATTCGGCAGATACAGTTGAGTCTTGTAACCAGCTGAAATTTGTGGCTGATCTGGTCTCATCCTTGCAGGACGGCATCTTCATCTTTTTTTAGGCTCATTGCGTCTCTCAAACGACACCTGTTCATTCTCGATCAGAGACTTGAATTATACTGCCGTGCTTGGTTGAACTGGTAATGTCTTGAGTTTCAACCACTACTACGTGTACGAAGAGTTGAACGTTGACTGCGTTTTACCGTTTGTTAGTGGATATAGGAACGATGTTCCCAAGCACAACAGCAATACAAATACTAATGAAAGTATGATTACCAAAACACTGGAGTTTTACGACAGCATCCAATTCTCGAGTTTGTTTGAATGGATCGGGCAACTTGGTTCTTGTTTTCGCATATTTTTTCGTTTAGCTAGAACGGATGACACGACAGAATACTCTTTTTTTCCGGTAGATCATTAGATGAACGATTACTTAATAAGCCCAGCGAAGTTCCTTTCGCGAGAAGCTCATTACCTAATACTATTGCTACCGTAGAATGGCTGTACAAGAGCTGGTCGCTAACTAATGAGCATCACGGTTTCCAACAGTAAACAATTTTAGCAACCAAATATGTCCAGCACGGTTACCTATGATTATGAGTGACCCAAGGTGAACTAATTAGGAAATTCGTTAGCTAAAAATTCCGTGAGTTATGGTTTTTGCTGGAAGCATCCATTATCTCAGACATTTAGCTTGTTTTTTGGGAACTGTCAGACGTTCTTCAAGTAACCTGGATGCATTGCGGATCCATATTACCTTCTTTGTCGTTTTCTATTATAGTGACAAAGCACGGACCCTCAGGGATAGCATCACTAACCGTAAAGCTACCTCTCATTCCGTTAAATGACAAGGTTTTTTGATCGTACTGCATGATAACTGTGCATTACTTCTTAAACAAGAGCGTCAACCTGGCTGTCAGTTCCCTTCCTAAGCGACGCAAACAATCCGACAACTATTTGCAGTCTTCAAATCCATGAATAACCGAAAAATACGAGTACACTTCTGTAGTAATACTAAGGTTGTCTTCAACGTGAACAGTGCAAAAAGAGGCTAGAGTTGATTTCATTTGAGAGTGAAATCTGATCGCATTACTATTTATCTGTTCACCGACCATTGCAGTTGTCTTAGCTAGCTACCCGAATGAAATAAAACCGATAACTTAGAAGACAGATGTTACAAGCGGAAGGGACAGACAGTTGTCTCATCCAAACTTTGTCTACTCTGAAAGAAAAGGGGTAATATCAGCCAGCTAGTTAAATGGGGCAACAAAGTGTCCTGGAAGCTGGGGCTTACGTTGTGGGAACCGTTCACCCATGGAGAAAAATGAAAAGTGAAAAGAGAAAAGTGAAAAGTGAGAAACGTATTTTAATAACCATTGATTTTGCTAAAAACGAAACGTTGAACAACAAAATTTGGGGTACCTGGTGTTCTGCGGGCTACTTCGTAGATGGAGCCGTAAAACAAGCGGACAAGTGGGAAATATTACGTGGGAAGCACAGAAGGACAGAAATATAAAATTGCAGGTGACACTCGTCACTCGTTTGGAGCGTATGTTGCGCAAAACAATGCCCCTTGATGATCTGCAATGAGCATTAAATAGTTCGTAAAACCAGGTGAAACAATCAAGATTAGAAGTCATGTTTCGGAAGTAAAAAACGATGCCAACAGGCAGGAATCAAGCACTCCTACTATATACATACTGGCAGAATGTAACCTAGCGAAAAGACAAGGCAAGGAGTTTTGAGCATACAATAAAAGAAGACAGACAGATTCAGATCCCGGAGATGAAACCTTGAGACAGATTCTCCCTCAGAAACAAAGTTGGCGTATGGTGTATGTAATAATCTTCATGAAGGACACAAAAGCGGAATTTTCTTTCCAATCTTCTCCATGCCCTTCACACGTTCCAGAAGATTCTTCTAACCATAAAGCTCTCTGGGATACAGTTTGTCAAACAGACAGATGCAAACAAAATTAGCTGGATCCATGTGGGATAGTCAGGCAAGCTACGCGTTGAGACTAGAGAAGAACAATATCGGCAATTGTAATGTACGAAACAGGCACACACAAGGTGGCGGTTATGACAAGAAGAGAACAGAATACGAAGCGATGTCACTCAGTGTTTTGTGTGTGTATGATCATTTGAGCAGATATTGGAAATACAAATTTAGGTTAAGTTTGACGAACTTCAGATTAACCTGATACAGTAAAATATTATCAGATATTCTGGATTCACAGGTAGTTTAACGTTTCCCACGGAGGCTATCCAGGCTATCAAGGGTGATCGAGGGTGATTAGTGTTCAAACAATTGATATTAACTTTGCATAATTATCCATGAATAAAGACAAAAAGATTTGCCAGAATTTTACAAACAGTTTTGAGCTGACTGTGTTAAACTTCTTTTGGTTTGAACATACGGCCCGTGCAAATATGGCTGTAGGACCCAGCAGTAAGCAACAAAGCTATCTTCATCAATTGTGTGATAGGTATCCTGTGATGTCGACCACCTCGAATTATTCCACGATTCAAAATTCATTAATTCATTCTCCGAAATTTCCTTGCACACTTTTTATTAACATTCGGTACCGCAAAACGAGGGTTACCTTTCATTGGACGACGCTAAATAACCACGCCGTTCGAAGGAAATAAGCTGTATGTGGTGCTCGGTGGTCCCTTTGGCGAATCTCAATTCAGCGAACTTGATGTAGCTTGGAGAACAGATAAAAACCAAGTTCCGTGCATGTGTGTCGCCCGGCGGCTTTGTCTGGTGTAAGCGTTTACCTGGCCCGATTGTTTTGAAATCACAGTGTGACTAGGATAGAAAACCGGGGAACAGGGAGCGACAACAACCAAGTTGTCTCCTGGTCTGTGTTCCGAAATGATTATTTTCTGATGCAGTGCTCTTCGTCTAGGATCGGAAGCTCCAACAAACTGGAAAGTTGGGGAACCTAGATCATATGTCATGCACGCTCACCACCAACTATCTCCGGCAATGTTCGTATGAATTAACTGTGTGATTTTTATTTGTGGCCTTGGTGACCAGAGTTGTTGCGTTGGACAGAAGGGGAAGCGGTTTGCTTACCAGCAATCTGGTCGAGTTATCAATACAAACCAAGTGGATGAAGTTTGATTTCACCATTTCTGTTGGTGAGATTGACCGTGAGTCAGCTGCGAAGGTCTGGAAGGACAAACGTTCCTATAACTTGGGATGGAATGTCAAAAGACTTCGAGGGTCCACGCAATGCCTTCAATGAAGATTCGGATGTGCATTTGGTGTTCGTTTGTTACTGAAGCTTTTTTGGACCTAATGGGGCTTGTATTAGGTATTCGTGGTTTGCTGCTTCAGTTTGTCAGTGTTTGCTTACTGACTCATTGAGTACAGCGCCGGACATGCTTAATTCATATAAATAGGGTACTGAAACTCAGAAAATGCTATCTGTCAAGGCAGCCAGATGTATGCGGTTAAAGTTTGGGTGTCATGTTGTTAAGGTTTACGATGGAAGAGTGACGTGGCTAACGAGCTGATAGGACATGGTCTTATTGGATTATGTCATGTTAAACAGAAGATCAGGGTAATATGTAACCAGGCCTGACTCAGATTAGTTGAGGTGATAATTTGCACATCTCTACTCAGATGCGCAAACACTTAGCGGGTAGCGACAATCGATACTCTTAATTCACATAACCTGCTCAATTACTGAAGACTTAGCACTCCTAGAAAGCGCGATTATTCCACAGTCATCATCATCATCATTGACAGCATGACATCAGTGTTCAACACCGATGCTTCGCTGCCGTACAACCATGATTTATTTGGAAGCCCTATTATAAAGAAGGAGTAGAAGAAGAAGGAGAAGAATACAAGTGGACGGTATTCCACAGTGCATTAGACCTAAGCATTACTACTTGAACCCATCCTGAGATTTATCGTCATGAGACGAGCTGTACTACGTCGTGCTGTTTGCCGTAGAGGGCACTTATAAATGAACGAAGCCCGGAATATCGGTGACTAGACCCCGTTGTTTTCCCTTACATTGAAAGAGGGGAAGCTTCTCACTGATCCAAAGCCAAGCTAGACATGGACTGACTTTTGACCGCCTGCAGTACATTACCGACCAAGTAACCTAGGTTGACTTGACGGAAATTGTACCGGAGATGTGCATCATGAGCCAGACACTTTCTAGTCCAGTGCCAGGACTACAGTGAGCGCTCCATATCTCTTTGCTGTCGTTCTATATATTGTTCCCAGCAATCGTTTGGGCCACGGTGAGTTACGCGCAAAAGTCCCAAAAGCTGAATCGGCCAACTAGAGGTTTATCAACAAATACGAAACTATAAATACAATAATATAATAATAAGACTGTACATACCTCAAATCCGAGACTACCCTGACTTCCAACAACATATTTTGTCCCGGCTTCAAAGCCGTTTTTTTCTGGATGGAGCTGAATTACCTTTTTCTTGTGGCTCTCCAACATACAGCTCCTCATCGCTGGCACCCTTTTTCACCTCTTCTGGCACAACGCTCTCACAATCCCTGTCGTCGTCCATATCGTCGTCGTCACCTTCATCCTCGTCTTTAGCGTCAGATTGTTCCTTCTTTACAGAATTCGCATTTTTATCTATTCCAGATCTCCATGGTACCTGTACATGATTATCTGACTGGTAGATGTCACCATCATCCTCCCATTCAGAACCACTGCCAGCTTGAGAGGGAGCCTCAGAATCTTCGGATAGTCTTAGTGTTGTTTGGTCAACTCTAGGTTGCTTTTCTGGCACCGGTGTACTTTTTGAGAGAATTTCTACAAAGACCTGACTCCCAAAGAGTCGTCAGTCCTTAAGCTCATACAATTTTGGGTGGCAGACGGAATTCAACAAGTGCACACCTTTCACAGGTATTGTCATATCTCCGGTTAAAACTGATTTTTGACGACTTCGGATAAGCTTCACGAAAGCCAGACCCTGAAGGGGCGTGTTCCTGGTCGAATGCACGTTGCTTCCCACACCACCGAAACACTCAGTTTTAGCACACTTTTCCGTAGTACCTTACCTTCACCTGGCCTTACGCGGTGTGGTTTAATAACCCAATTCAGCGAAATGTTTCAGTGGTGGGGTTTTGCTGGATACGTATTTTGTTCATATTCAAACCAGTCTCGTTTGACCGGTCGTGCTCCCGTTCTGCTCTAATTATCCCGGTGAGTCCACACCAAAGAGAAGCAACGGATCCGAGCCTCGCTCTCACTAGACATTATCAGCAGTACATATCCAAAGGTCGCGTCGGGATTTGAACTCCGGAAGTCTGACATGCAAGCGAGCGTGTTACCACTACTCCACCAACGCACGATGAACACATTTGATTTTTCACTTCTGAACAGGCGAACGTGCTTGTTGAAGATAGTGCCTCGGCTTCTTTCGCCTGTTCACAGCAATAGTGAATGCACGCTCGAATTTTACTATTGTAAAATAGTCAACCGGCCACGCTAAGTCGAAGAGCTTCTACAAAATCCCAAAATCCCAAAAATGTATTCATGTTCATTCTCGGCATTTCGGCGAATAGGTGTCGAGTGTCGTGGCTTAGTGGTCAACATGAAAGCCGAACGTTTCATATCGCCCGATTTTAAATCGCCGACGTGACACATTATCTATGCAAACCTGCAGATTTTCGTGGGTGTTACGGTTCTTCCGGATGACTTTTTGGCAATGAATTTTTGGACCTTCTGTCAACTGAATGAAAGCCATTTTCACAGATGTCTACAATCGACCTTTCGTCGGCAAAGGGCTCATAACCAGACAGCATTCTTTAAAGAAGGTAACCTCCGTTTTCCAATCTCTAGCTCTCCCAGATTTATCGTGATCTCTTTCTCCAGTGTCTCATTTTCCAACCCACTTTTGACAAGATCTCTATAAGTGGGAGGAGGAAGGTCTTTGCTGTGGAGTTAGTTATTAGAAAACGCCAAGTGAACAGTTACAGATTCTTGGACAGGGGAGCAGAACTCCCATATGCATCTTGTTTACAAAAACTGAATATCCATCTTCTCCTTGAACGCGTTTTCCTGAACTTTCTTGGATACTCCTTGACTGTTGCTCAAATCCAAGCAAATGCAACTCCACAATTTCCGTAATAGATCTCACTTTTCAAGAGACGTAAAGCGGATTTACGAGAAAACATGCTACTAGCATGACCCCGATCAGTAGTATCACCGTTGTACCAGAATGACTGTTGGACCTAACATTATCTGCCGTTCTTGACCTAGGAGGAGAGTGTCCTGATAACAAGTAGGGCTTTGGAACAGGAATGTCGCAATTAACAAAGATATCAGAAGTATCGTGTACTAAGTTTTCCAGACCAGAGTGTATCTAGGCAATAAGATAGCGAAACCACGTGTTGAGTTAAACATGTGAAATGATAATGTCAACGAGTGGCTTGCGTTCAGGTCAAAATCAGGAAAGGTGGTAGAGGCGCAAAACTGAAATAACAAAATCAAGGAATCGCGTTGTGCAAACCAGTCTAGAAGACAAACTAAAAGTGACAGGTTTGAGCTTGGTTCAAAACTTTTTCACCTCCATGCAAGTGTCACTGGCTTGTTACCCGAATTCGTTCCAGCGAGAATTATCAACGTTATAAACGACCATTTTTTCAGTGAACTACTTTTTCGCTTGCGTTTAACCGGTCTGTCACGTCGATTCACGCTGGCAGCACAACTAATTTTGGCCCCCTTTTGTCCGACCATCTATTTGATTGAGTACAGTCGAGTGGTCTGTGTTGTGACATTAGGTGAAGATGCAGATAGAATACCACTTTTTCCTAGAAAGTGACACGGAGGTGCATATTTATTTCCCACCACTTAAGCAGCAGTTGTTGGTTAGGCTCCAATGTGCCCCAAGCGCTCTGGTGATCCCTTTCCAGTGGCAGTTAAACTTTGCTTTTGCGTGTGTAAATCTCAGCTCAAACGGACTTGGGATTCTACTTCATGGAATTTCCTCAGCATGTGTACGGTCAAATGCACGTTACCCACACATTTTCAAATCAAAACCGATCGTTTTTACATCGATCTTTGATGATAAAATTAATTAGTTAGTGCCTAATTAACGTTAGTTAGTTCGGTGGCTTTTTCAATCAGGACGCCTGCTTCTTCTGAATTGGTCAAGAGCCTTAGATGACTTAGCATCTAAACTTATCTGTTTCAGCTAGCAGTTAGATGCCCCTATCGTATCTCTATTCCAGAGCTTAAATACTTCATCGAGACACAGGATACGTCTTTACTCAAATGTTCATTGCCGTTTTGTAGGACAGTGGCACTCATATTTTTCCTTTTATCTTCACTGACACAAATCAGTTAACAAAATTAACCATGGCGGACGATGCTAGGTTTGAGATTGGAGCAATTCGGCTTTCTGTTTTACAGAGTTCCTACTTACTTTGAGAAAAGTACGAATACAAACGACATCACGTTTAGTCCGTGGTAAAAGTCATAATGTTGATTAGCTACTCAAGCTGAACCGAAATGGGTGGGGGCATTTTCTCTTGCATAGGCGTAATGCAATACTCACAAAGTGGCTGAAAACCCCCTACCGGGTTTTGCCCTGTTCGAGGCAGGCTCATCAGGCAGGTGCGGTCCCCGAGTTTACGTCACCCTTATGTGACGATTGAATCCAACTAGTCCGGAGACCATTCTCACTTTTTCAGGTACATTGACTCGGCGCTGAAGGAGAGTGCAAACAAACTACGTCAAAAATTGTCCGAAATTGTGTTTCTCACTTTCTCACTAGAGAAGATTAGATGTATGAGTTCAGTTTAGCGACCAGGTTACTAGTTCTGATTCCAAGGATGGGCAATTCAGTGTGCTTACATTAGAAACACATGATCTGTTAAGGTGACACCAGAGGTATTCCAACAAAAAAATACCTGGATTGAAGTAAATTTTAAGCCGAAATACTACAGTGTTTGGGATTTTGCAAGGTTTGCTCCAACTCAATAACCAGGCACATCAAAGTGGAACTAAAACATCTGAAGAACCAGACTCGGCCCCAAACTTTACGAGTGTACCTCAGAATTCTTAGAAGAAAAGGAATCACAGGCTGTAAACTTATTAAAGCCTGGTGTCAAATAATCCAAAATACCCTGTCAGTATGCAAAGCAGATTCACGATTTTAGTAGTGTTGTGAGATTTGAAAGCTTGAACAGTGATGTCATCCTGCAAGTGAAGCTAATCCGTGCTGAACAGCCGGCAGGCACAGTGCTTCGTTTACTCACTCTATTGATCTTATGGGATATATATATATATATATATATATATATATATATATAGTTTGACTACCTACAACTAAAGACACTCGTTCAGAAAGTCTGGGGAGAAACTGACAACAAGAACTCTACTGGCACCGATAAGCGGTCATATCTTGCAGCGTCTCCAACCATGAACAGTGAAGATCAAACGGTGCTCGTTCTTTTAAGCGAGTAGCACCGACAGCCCTCAAACGCTCCGTAATCCCTTTTATACCAATCGGCCAGGTTCGATTCTTCCATTCTGAATTGGGTACGAAAAACAGCATTCTCCTCGGCAGACGATGGTTTAGCATGCGCATTACACGGCCCAACCAACGCCGTTTCTGATGGAGGACACATTCCTTAGTCGAAGTAGGCGTCCCCCAACAAAAACTCGCTTTATAATGGTATCAACACACCCAGACCAACTCACACGAGCTAAGGTTCCGAGATAATGGTCAAGCACCTGAATACGTATCAGTTCCGCAGCTCGAACAGGCAAACCCTCACAGCAAAAAAAACAAAGCAACCCGCACTGTGGCCTGAGGGACACATAGATTGAGATTCAGTGATATA